CCCCCCAACACACAATAGAACCTAATATTCACGATTAAAATATAGTACATTGGATAAACACCACGAATAATAAGAAAGAAAATCATTTGATATACTAGTGAAATCATGTTCAGCAAGGTCAAGCCCCATTGTTAACCCTTTTCTATGTTTTTCATATACAAAATTAAGTATCTTTTATAAGTCTTTCATCCATGTATATGACAGACCTTCATGTAAAATTAAGATGTTAAACTTTCAATACTAATATAAATTATCTAGCACGCAATAATCTAGAATCGTCTATGAGAAAGCTTCTAGCCTAATGTTATATTCGCTACAACTGCAAAAGGACATTCACATCAACATCTCAGGCACAATTGAAGTCATCCCTTTATCATCTTCAAGTTTATCAATTCTTAGAAAAATAAGTCAAGGCTAGGACAATCTCTATTATAATCTTAAGAGAACAATGTCTTAGGTATGACTGTAGTTAAAAAACTCCTCTGCTATCATCCATTATAATATCACTTTCATGACTAGAAGGCAACCCTGGCTCTAACCTCAATACAGTGCTCACGTAAACATCATAAACAAAGTTGTGAACAGGAAAACTCTTTCATTCAACATTTTCAAAATAACTTAAGTGACAATTATCTTTCTCAACTTGCAAAAGTAAATAATAAAATAAAAAATTCAAATTCCATACAAAATCCCGACAAGATTCCTGTTCACTACACAAGATTGCAGCCATGACCTTGAAATAACTAAATAAAGCAACTATCATCTTTGATTTAAAAAATAGCAACAGTTGGGCTCAATCAAGGTGCAATTGATCACAAAAAGATTCAATTCAATCTCTTCAATGTAAGTTCACATCATTGAGTAATATTCTAATAATAACATTGAATAGACCAAATAATCTTTGAGAGAGTTCTCTTAATATCTTCTGTTATCTAGTAAGATTTAGGGCAACATCTCATATTAATAATCTAAGATAAACAAAATTCCAAAAAATAACCCTTCATAAACCTCCTTAGAAAAAATAGTAAGATTGTTTGAAATTATGGCATGGAGAAAATATGTCATTAATATGTCAGAATATTAATTATACTTATATATGAGAAAAAAAGTAGACAGCCAAGGGTTGAGCAATAAATTATTTGTATTTAAAATTCAAATAAAATGCATAACGGAATTATTATGTTTACCAGGTATCATCATATTATCCATCACTATCAATAAAGATCATCTTAATCAGTTCGTTTTATACATTAGATGGTCAATTAAAAAATGAATATTCAGCACCGACTCCAATCTTATAGTTCGCATATCAAACATTTTTTTAAAAAGCCACAAATAAAATTTCCTTCAAGATATTGATAATTCAGGTCCTTCACTTTGATCAACCAAATGATACAATAAGGATCTCCTGAAATATTTTGCAGTCATCAAACTTTTTTCCAGCTTCAACTTTTAGAAGAACGATCTCTTTATATTGAGTACATGTATAGCCTTCATATATTTAACTCTAATCCCATCATGAACTTCTGATTGGATACAAATAACCTCTTAAAATTGGAATAGATTGGTACAATCATCGGCTCAATCTAAATCTTGATTTATCAAATCTTCAAAGTCATCACTTATGATTTTAGGATACAATCTTCACTTGTACTCAATCTTTATAAACTCAAAAAGAGATATTCAATCAAAAATCAAGATTCATCATTGACAATAACTGAATATAAACATATAGCTATGCCAGATCAGAGTCAAAAATCATAATTATTGAATTACGTTTTCAGCGAAATCAAATATGTTAAATTCATCCGTTTGATGCTCCATTGAATTTTTCTGCAACAACACAGTGCAGGAATCACTACCCAACAGTCGTTCTAAATTTTTTTTTTTTTTAGAAATAAACAGTTCAAAAAATTTCTCAAATTTTTTTATAAAGCAACTATAAATAAAATGAGCATATTAAAAAAATCAACCAATTTTAAGTAGCATACAAGAGAAAGTAAATTCTTCATGTCTGCAATCAGCAATATGATGAATTCAAGAAAGTTGCTCAAGAACATTCTACCCTACCAAATGAAAATACTTTTGTATGAAAAAAATCATGAGAGTGGTCACAAAGATTATTTAAATTCACAAAAAAAAAGGTTCACTTTTTTTTACAGCTGATGCAATTGTAAATAATCATCGAAGATAGAAAGATCACAATTTTAATATCAGGACATCAATTTTTTCTTAAATAGGAATCGTAGATTTTCAGTAGAAAATTTTATGAGAAAAACATACAAATGCATATAATCTTCCTAACAATGTTTTGAAATAAAATTCTAAGTATGCCTGCATAAATAAGAAAAAAAATTATACTAAAATGAAAAAAAATGAATGCCGAATAAATTCCTAGTATTTTTGAGGGGGGGCATCATCATCTTTGAATCCTCCATTAAGAACATGCTAATGCATCAATCATCGCCGCTAACATGGATATAATAATTTTTTAGAACAGTTGACAACTTTCTTAAAAGAAAAAAATGAGCTTCAAAATTAAGTAGAAATCCTCCCACCTCATATCCATTCCATCCAAATGAAGATGGTAACTTCATTTCAATAGAACAAAGCTCTGCTACAAGGATTAAGATCCGTGAGTAGCTCAATTTTAATTTGCTTAAACAAAGAAAATTAACCCCCTTTAAAGAAAGATTAAAGCCCCACTATAGGAGTTACAAGTCTTAAGTAACCCACAAAACTCCGCCTGTGATGAACAAGTTGGTACTCTGGGTAGATACACGCTGAAGCTAACGAGCAAGAAAGTGATCCACCTATCTAGAAAAAACTGAAGAGTCTTCTTTTAAAAGAAAAAGGTAAGCCTACGAATTTGGGAAATTTTCTCACCGATGGAGGACACAAACGAATGAATGCGAAGGGTTATAAAATTTAAAAATAAGAATTACACTCAATTTTCATTATGATAGTTACAAAATAAGAGGATTAAAGTTTCAAATTTTAATGATGGAAGCTTTACTCAATCTCAATTATAGAATTATAAGTATTGGAGGACTTAAATTACAAACTATAAAAATAAATCAATCAAGTTTCATCATAAAAACATATTATGATATGATTTACAATATTATCAACAATAATGATTAAAAACATTATCTTGTTGTGACATATAATTAAATTACTTTAACACATAATTTTGAATGGCAATATTATTAGACTAGAAAATATGACATCCAAAAATAAAGGTAAATAATACATTATCATAAAATTAATTTGATCAAGCATGAATCTAAGAGCAATGTTTAAATTTAATTTTTTCGGAATTAAATTCAGAGTCATCTAAATTTTAATTTCTGCAAATTAATAGTTGAAAAGAAATGATAAACCTAATGACACGAAAAGGAACCAAACTTAAAATGAGTTCAAATAAAGTATTTGAATTGTAGTTGAAAACATCAAAGCATTAATTAAAAGAGAAAATAATATGTGAATTTTGTTTGCTCTTAATCAAAACGAAAACCTTTATGAAAGCAATCCAACAAGCCTGCGACGCGGGCGCTAAAAACAGTGACCAGATACAGGCACTGAATGCTCCCCGAAGCGGGAAAAGGCGGGAGGTGGGAGGCGGATGGCGATGCGCGGGAGTCTCACGGGCGAACTCTCACGAAGGTGTTGTCGGAGACTTCACGGGTTGCTATACTTGTGTAGGCTTTTCTGGATTATTCTAACCCTCCTTTTGTGTCCGGAGTTCATAAATAGTTGTTTCTTGTGTGTAAGAGTTCAGTTCTAGTTGTGTAGCCTTCAGATCTTTTGTGTGTGGTCTCTTTCCTCTTGTTAGGGTTATATCTGACGACAAGTGGGTTATAACCGACGACAAGTGGTACTTCGGTTGTATCCTAGTTTGAAATGGTATTGTATACTTCCAATCTCCTTCGCTACTTCTCCTCGATTCTTCTCCTACTACTTCCCATAACGGTCTACCGCCCTATATCCCTCCACCACATTGCCGCCGCTTCTACTTTCCCCCACAACCTTGCGATCCCTCCTACCTACAACTAATCAAACACCATCCCAACCTACCCAAACAACCACCCGGCCTTCCCCACCTTTCTCTACCACTCCACCACCGCCACCACTGCCTTTGGATCTCTTCCTACAGTCTCTTTCTTCACCCCTAGCCTGAGATTCATCTATTACTATATTTTCCTTTCAATTGAGTCGTGTTGTAACTCTATTTCTATATTAATAAAAATTTGTTTTGTGTTCCTACTATTCTTCCTACTAGTTCCGATATCAGTTGGTATCAGAGCTCGCTCGACCCTGTATCATCCAAGGGTTTCTAGCAAACGTCCCATCCATGCCACATCCACTCCATTATTTTCTTTCCACTACTCTAACCACCGCAAGGAGTTACATCAGGCTCTACCCTGGAAGAGATTCAATGAGAAATTCGTCATTAGCAACAGAGACTAGCAGAGTTGGATGTCCGTGATCGAGAGAGTCAAAAAGAATATTGGGACAAAGAGATAAATTCGTTTCCACGGGAAAGATCGCAGTGATGAGGAATATCAGCCATGTCATTTTGGTATCTAATATTAAAGTTGAACAAGAAAAGAGCCCCCTTATGGAGGTCAACGGGACTTTGGCATTAAGATGGTCCTCCCAAAAATTGAGGGAGGCATGGACCCCGATGAGTTTATTGATTCGTTGCAATCAGTCAAACATATTTTCGAATATAAAGGTATATCAGAAGACAAACGAGTCAAGCTACAAGTTATTAAACTAAAAAAAATACCTCCTTATGGTTGGAAAATCTACGAAGAAAGAAAAGAAGAGAAGACAATGAAAAGATAACTAAGTGGGAGAAGATAAAAAAGGCAACGCAGAAGAAATATATTTCACGCATACAATATCGTCAGGATATGTTTCTAAAACACCACAACTTACAACAACAAGATCTTTCAGTTGAAGAGTTCACAGCCCAATTCGATCACTTGCAGTTAAAGTGTGAGCTGACGAAGCCAAAGAAACATGCGATAGCTAGATATCCGGGTGTTTGAAACCTGACATCAGCAATGTGGTACAGCTGCAGCCATATTGGACACTAGTGGACATTCACACCCTAACCTTGAAAGTGAAAAGAAAGCAGAAGCAAAGTCGGCAACAGTCATCCTTCATACCACCATCTTCAGCTAAACAACCACTTGCAACTTCTATAGCAGATAGAGGTACCTCGGGAGGAAATAAAAGAAATTGGACAGGGATCTGATAAGGCAGATCTGATTGGGAAGAAGCCAGAGAAAGATGATTCCTCTAATACAGTGGGCCAGGAAGTGTTTCAGATGCCACAGCTAAAGTCACATGGCCTCTAGCTGCCTAACAAGCCTAGTCGTCACACTAACAAATCAAGGTGTCGTCGAGGGAGTCGAAGAGGAGTCAGGGGAGAGTCCAGAAGAAAGGCTTCAGCTCCACGGAGAAGAAGGAGAAGCATTAGTCATTTGGCGAATACTGCAGTCCGAGCCAGAGTAGGACCAATCTTGGTTAAGACAACACTTTTTGCACTAAGTATGTCAAGGGGAAGGTCTGCAGTCTGATCATCGACAGTGAGAGTTGTGAGAACGTGGTGTCCACGCTCATGGTGAAAAAGGTTAAGATTGGACGTACAGAAGCATCCCCAATCATATTCTCATACTTGGTTGAAGAAGGGAAATGAGATACGTGTGGTTCAACAGTGCTTAGTAGATTTCTCCTTCAGAGACTAGTTACATGAATAAGTATGGTGCGATGTGGTTCCTATGGATGCATGTCACATTCTAATGGGAAGGCTTTGGCAGTTCGATCGCAAGACTCAACACGACGAGTTCAAGAACACTTATTATTTCAGAAAGGATGGAAAACGTATCGTTTTGCTACCTGCTAAGGATACAAAAGATGGGAGCATACAGAGGTAAAATTAGTTCCCTAGACCACTTTCCAATAGTAAATTAGAGATGCATCCATAACACTAGCATTAGTCCTTCTAGAAGGAAAGAGAGGTACCAACACTACTAGCCATTATTACAGGACTTCAGGATGTTATGACCGACAGCTTACAGGAGAGATTACCGGCATTAAGGGACATCCAATAAGCTATAAACCTTATACCCGGATCTGTATTGTTAAACCGACCAGCCTACAGATTAAGATCTGCAGAGTATGAACAGCAAGATCTCATCGCAAGGAGCCTAGTCAGAGAAAGCACCAACCTGTATAGAGTCCCTGCCTTGATGGAGCCCAAAAAGAATGGATCATGGTGGATATGCATCGACAGCCGAGTTATCAACAAGATTACCATCAAGTATCGATTCTCCATACCCCGTTTAGATGATCTCTTAGACCAGCTACACAGAGCCACATCTTCTCCAAGACCGACTTGTGCAGCAGATATCACAAGATATGGATGAGGCTAGCAGACGAGTGGAAGACCGCATTCAAGACACGAGTTGGACTTTATGAGTGGACCGCTATGCCTTTAGACCAGTTGTACGCACCCAACACTCTCACGAGACTAATGAACTAGGTATTTCAATCGCACAATAGAAAATTTGTCGTTTTCTGCTTTGACAGAATTCTAGTCTACAGCCAGTTGGAAGAGGATCACTTGCATCACCAAAAGGTAGTATTCGAGGTACTTGAGCCAAGCAAATATATGTCCATCCGAAGAAATGACACTTCATGACAAGTCAATTATGTTTTCTGGGTTACATCGTCTTGTGCAGGCGCTCAAATGGATCCCGCAGACAAAGGTCATTATTAGCTAGACCGCCCCACAAACGTTCACCGAACTGAGATAATTTTTGGGGCTAGCATCATTCTATCAGAGATTCATTAAGAACTTCAGTATTATCAAATCCCCTCTCACCGAACTTTTGAAAAAGTTTGCTTAGACAGTCACATCTCAGAACAGTTTTGACACACTAAAGAAAAAGGTTACTCTGGCACTCATGCTAGCACTACCTGACTTCAACCAACTTTTCGAAGTAGAGTGTGATGCCTCTGGTATTGGGATCGAAGCAGTGTTGAGCCAGGGATGACACCCCATCACTTTCTTCAGTGAAACGTTGAACGAGTCTAGGAGGATTTACTCAACTTGTGATAAAGAATTCCACGTCATCGTAGGAGCTCTGAAACACTGGAGTCATTACCTATTAACAAACGAGTTTACACTTTTTACAAATCACAAGACCCTAAAATTTCTCAACAGTCGGAGCAAACTAAAAGGATGACACGCCACTTTGGTGGAATTTCTAGCCTCATTTCAGTTTGTACTAAAGCACCAAACTAGAAGCAAGAACCGCATAGTCGATGCATTAAGTCGTCGACATCTATTGATAGTTGTGGGCTTCGAGATCATAAGGAATCTATATGAAACAGACCAAGGTTTCAAAGACATATGAGAGTAATGTCAGGAGAGGCCAGCTGAGTAATATTACCGCACAGATGGAGACTTGTTCCACCAAAGTCAGTTATGCATTCCCCGATCTTCACTAAGAGAAGCCATTGTCTAGGAGTAACGAGCGATGTGGAGCGACATGTTAGGCAGCGCAAAACTTGTCACCTAAAAAAGATAAAGGCTCAAAATGCAGGATTGTACACGCCACTTCCAGTACCAGAGGCATCATGGGTCGACGTCGGCATGAATTTTGTGGTGGGACTTCCAAAAACCCAAAGGAACAAGGACTCCGTCATGGTTATGGTAGACAGTCTCTCTACGATGGCCTACTTTGTACCATATCACTGGACACAAGACACCTCTCACATCATCGATCTTTACTTCAAAGAAATTATAAGGTTGCACGGAATTCCTAAGACCATTACCTCCGACAGAGATGTCAAATTCCTGAGCCACTCTTAGAAGACACTATGGTGAAATCTTGGGGCAC